TCCCGAGTAAAAGGCTCATCAAGAGGGTCTTCATGTGCAGGCATATCATGCACAGTCTCATCGATTCCAATAACAGGAAGTCCATCGATAGAGTGTGCTTTCTTCAGTGCTCCACCCAAATCTGTAGTAAACAGACAACACAAAACAATTGCAAACAGAGAATGACAAACAACACACCGTATCAAAGTTGGTGGAAGATGCTCTTCATCCGAGCTGAAACCATTCTGCCCATCATCTCTTTCAAGGGAGTAAGGGGAAGCTTCATCTGCCCAATCAATTCTGTACATAATGACAACTTTAAGTTAAAAAAAAAAAAAAATTCTCAAGTAATTTACATGAAAAATGATAGACAAAATTAATACATCATATATGTTTTACCTGTCTGTTCCACTGGAAGCACATATACTGGACAATGCTGTAGCTGGGACTTGAAAAGGTTTTATCTTCAAGGGAGTTGATGTTGTAGGACTTGTCTCGTACCTGGAGAAACAACAGCAGCATCAGTAAATGAAGTGCTACATGACACAGTCGTAGACGACTGTAATACATTACTGTATTGTAATTCACAGTGTGTAACATCTTGTTATGGTTTGCTCATCGGGCCTTATAAACTGAACATCCCTAAAAATATGACATCTAGTGCAAGTATGATCCCCGACAGACAACATAGCAAACGTAAGCCAAGCGTGTGTAACATTATCATTGTTTCTATACAACAGTCCATTATAAAACCACATCATAGATAATATTTACAAATCCGTAGTCAGGTAAGGATCAAGGTCATTAATAATGGTCAGTAATATAATTATACTAATCAGCTAATTTTCTCACGAACGTATCCAGCAAATTTTCTTCCCACATAGCAAAACACATAATACAGGTAACGTTATAGGGATGAACAGAGTTAACGTTACATGAAACAATTTACATATTTTACTATACTAAAACACGGTGTCTATGACTAGCTATGTCTAGGTATTGCTCACATTATCAAACAACAGTTTTAATTTTGATAGTTAAAGTTTGGATATCTTACCTGTCCAGCAGAAAACAGGCAACCTCGGCGTCGCTATGAAAGCCCTTTTCCCTCATAAGACCCTTCCATCTGGGAAAAGCCACACAGATGTTGATCCGCGATTCTGCCTTATTTTTCTAGCTTCATCATACTTTCTCTTTTTTGAAGCAGATTTACCTGATTTCGGATACCTGAACAATAACAATAATTGTGAACGTGCATAGTTCTAGCTAATTATATCCTTGTGTGGGTTTGGCGAACATAAGCGTCAATTTAGAAGAAAAAAAACAATTTAACGTTAACGTTTACTGTCCAGCAAAAACAGAGCAACCTGACGTCGGACTGGAAGCCCTTCTGCCGCCGGAGTTCTCGGCATCGTTCAAAAGCTTTGCTACCGATGTAAATTCGGAACTTCGCACGTTCTTTATCCGACTCCTTTTTAATTTGTACTTCAGAACGACGTCTCTTTGGTCGTGTGTCGGCCATTTTTCAAACTTCCCTCTTATGCTTCTCTCTCCTTCACACACACACACACACCCTTCATGTGCACGCGCACTAACCCCCCAGACCCACCCTCAAATACTTTTTGCCAGTGATTGGCTGGAACACGGTTTGTTAGGTTTCGTGGTCCGGGTGAGACATGATTGTTTTTGTTGCTGTTTGTGGAGCCTGTGGTGTCTACCCCAGATAGCAACATTGTTTCGGCCCAGATCCGGCCCACATCTGGCACTTGTGGGATGCGGATCTGGCCCACATGCAGCGTGGAATGACGGCCCTTGGGTGGCCCACTCCTGTTTGCCAGATCTGGGCCACAAGCAGGCCATAGCAATGCCACATGTCAGCCAAGAGCAAAGAAATAAACCACAACTGGACTTTATCTGAGCCACAAAATCCGTGTATTAAACATGGAGTCATCTTAATAAGCCTGTTAACAAACAGAATCACTGAAGGAAAGAAGAGAATAGAAAAAGAGACGAGCAGAACAAGAACTACAGACACAGTCTTAGATGAAATCACCTGAAGAGAAAAGAAGACATTTAAATCTGAAGATCTCAGCAGAGGAGGATAAACAGCATTACCAGCATCACTTATTACTAACCCTGACTGACTTTATTTCTGTCAGACTTCTACAGAAGATTTTATTGAGAATTAACAGAGGTTTAACTCTGTGTTTCATTTGAAGTCACCGTAACATCAGAATCTCTGAAGGGGAAAATCGTAATTGGTTACCATTATGGAGATCAGTGTTTGCTTTAGTTGGGCTCTTGAGCCTTAAATCATTTATTTTAGAATTTGCTTGGCTATTGTTCTTTTGTTATAACAGCCAAATGAACAAAGAGCAAAGGTGATATGATGGTGTTCGACATTGTCATTGTTTCACGATCATTTGACCTGAGTAAAGCCCAATTAATGAGTTAAATTTACTTTATTGTTACAACACTGGCCTTGAAAATCATAATGTTCTTACTTTTACAATGTAGTCCAAATAATTTCTTAATATTAAATTTTAAAAGACATCATGAATCAGCCTGTGAATCTCAATAATGGTGGCAATTATAAAGCATTTTGCAGTGTATTCTGGATGCCACCAATCAAACCTTATTCATGGCTCCCATCATGCATTGCTGCATGAATAAATAATGAGCTTTTTCATCACCATTGTTGAGATTCATAGGCTAATTATTGATGTCTGTGTGTGTCTATCTGAAATATTTTTAAGTTTTTTTTTTGGTAATTGATTTGATCATTTGGAATTAATAGAAAAGGGAAAATTCCACAACAACAGTGCTGCATTAATATCCATAAGATACAAAGCTTAACTCTGAAATTATACGCTCACTGATTCAGGCCAATTATTGATTATGTAATAACACAATCAACATCGTCAAATCATCTTTTCCATATGTTCATTTGGCTGTTAGAATTGAAATACAATAGCCAAACATATTCTAAAGTAAATGACTTAAGGCTCAAGAGCCCAACTAAAGCAAACACTGATCTCCATAATGGTAACCAATTACGATTTTCTCCTTCAGAGATTCTGATGTTACGGTGACTTCAAATGAAACACAGAGTTAAACCTCTGTTAATTCTCAATAAAATCTTCTGTAGAAGTCTGACAGAAATAAAGTCAGTCAGGGTTAGTAATAAGTGATGCTGGTAATGCTGTTTATCCTCCTCTGCTGAGATCTTCAGATTTAATGTCTTCTTTTCTCTTCAGGTCATTTCATCTAAGACTGTGTCTGTAGTTCTTGTTCTGCTCGTCTCTTTTTCTATTCTCTTCTTTCCTTCAGTGATTCTGTTGGTTAACAGGCTTATTAAGATGACTCCATGTTTAATATACATGGATTTTGTGGCTCAGATAAAGTCCAGTTGTGGTTTATTTCTTTGCTCTTGGCTGACATGTGGCATTGCTATGGCCTGCTTGTGGCCCAGATCTGGCAAACAGGAGTGGGCCACCCAAGGGCCGTCATTCCACGCTGCATGTGGGCCAGATCCGCATCCCACAAGTGCCAGATGTGGGCCGGATCTGGGCCGAAACAATGTTGCTATCTGGGACAGAGACCGCGTTTTTTTACAGTGTGTTTAGGGGACAGGCAGCTAGCCGATAGTGAGGAGACGTTTGATGTATGTGACAAAAAATGTTTTGGCCCAGCATCGCTTAGAGAACCTTTAATTTGCGTATCCAAATGTTTTCCCTTTAATTAATTAATTAATTATGTACTTTAATTATGACATTATTTTCTTCATGACAGATCACCAAACTGAAAGCAACAGTCCATTAAATGGACATTTCAAACACAACGGTCACAATAAATGAAAACGATTGTGAACTGAAGACCTGCTGGCTGGCAGACACACCTGGAGTAATTGCACTGTCATTATGGGACGCACAGATCGAACTTGTAGAAGCAGGCAAGTCCTACAGTTTCACAAATTTGGCCACCAGGAAATTTTGTGATAACACCACACTCACCACTACACGCACATCAACATTTACACCAATACTCAAAAAAATATACCAGAACCTGCTACAACTCATGACATACAAACACCTCCGCCCACACAACACACAATTTCCACGGAGATCACGGGTGCAGCAATAACAGTCAAAAAGCAATGCCTAAAATGTCATACCCCCCCCACCCCCCCCCAACATACCTTATCCTCAAAGGACAATTTCCACAGGTGCAGTACTTGCAAAATATTACGAAAAGGAACAAGTTACATTACTAGATGCAGTGGATTTGTCACTATTCAACTAAACAGTCAAGAAACATCCCTATCAATTACAAATTCCCTACTCACACAATTTATAAATCAAGAAAAAGATGTCGGCACTATGGACAACCAAGACATTGAAGAGTACTTCATGACATACGGTCCACTCACCCTCACATTTACTGACAATAACCAATTAGTACACATTCAAACACCAAAACAAAAGACAGAAGAAATCAACAACAGTGACGAGGAACTGTGTGCAATAATAGTAGACGTCCCAAAAGATCACATTCCAGTCACTGACACTGCATGAAAAGACTCAAATCCGGCAATATCCGGGCATAGTAAACTCCTGTGCAATTTGATGTTTGCTGGATGTATGTGGGAAAAAGCGGATCAGAGTAACACGGAACAGTATATTTCCAGACAAACCCGGAAACCTCACCTACGCGGGCATATACAGGAATCCGTGAAATTTTACGGACATATACAGCTGAAACACTGCTGGATGTGAGAGGTGTGAAGAAGACCTTTCATATGTTAATGACTGACACTAAGGGTGCTGGCTGTTCTCAGAGGGAGGAGTGGCAGGGGACTTCAGGATTGAAAATTATCTCTGGTCTACAGCAAACAAGTTTTTTTTGTACAGAAAAATAAATAAATTCTTAAGGCCCTGAAACAGAAAACCGACGTCAAAGAACTAGCAATGACTAAAGCCAACTCTAGGGTTGGCTTATGTCGCCTGTGGGGCCTTAAAACTACTGTATGAAAAAAAAGTATCCTAATCAAATATTCTTTTATAAAAACAGGACAAAATAAACACCATGAATATACGTTCACAAAAACATCTGAATATTTAATGAAATAAAAAATACAGGGAAACATTTCAGAATATCTAAATTTTTATTGTGAAGTTTTACAAATTGCAGACAACAACATTTGTCGCCATTGGCTTTGCTTAGTTGGGGACATTTTTATTTAATATTCAACAATGTTATTGAACTGCCTGCATTGACACCATTATATGAGATCTGAACTGAGATGGACAATGACATCACGGTTTTGGCTTGGAGTTAATCCATGCTTCTTTGGGCATGCATGATGTGAAACGAGTGGTCGCAAAACCACCGGGCTTTCCCGTGTTATTGTCAGCAGCTGGTTATCCTTCCATGTTGAAAGGTCCAGCTGCATCATATTTATTCACAAAATTAAATAGATTCACTTGCAACGCGTCATACCGAGGTTTGTGGTTTGAGTAAATAAGTCCTTCCGCAAACAAACAAGCTGCAAGAAAAGGGGGCGTTTTGAGGTTTGAAATTCACCACTCACAACCATTAACACAACAAATGTGGTGACGTAATGGAGGTGCAACCAATAACGTTAGTGTATTGCTTCAAGCGCGAGAAAAATACTTTAAAATTACAGCATTTTTTCCCGAAGCAAAGAGAACAGTTCAAGGTTTGGAAACAGTTTTCTTCTATTCACCTTATTTTGCACGACAACAAGGGTGACGCCATTGCGTTCGTTTTGTCATCTTACTCCCGTCTGAGAAAGACTTCAACTTCCGGCTCATGAGAGGGATGAGATTCTGCGCTAGTTGAAACGAACGGTAAAATATGGCAAGTATTAAATGTTCAGTTAGGTGCTGCCATAACAGTTGGATTAAGAGGAGAGAACAATTGAACCAACGGTGTAACGAACATAATGTGAGGCGGTCAGATTGTTGTTGTGGTGCACTTTACGATTTAGCTACACCCACCACCTAAAGACGAGGAGCACCGGAGGCAATGGCGGAAGGCACACATTTGGAAGCATAGGCTTGAAAGTGCCCGATTCTGATGAGAAAACGCAAAAGTGGCGTTGCGTCATCTTTTTTTTTATTCTGCGCTTAGACGAGCGTTTTGTGTGAGAGGTCCGCGTGCAAATGGAGACGCAAAAGTGTGTGAAATTCAATGTAGTATGCACTTCAGGCGGCTAGGAGTGCATACTACAACAACACCAAGTCCACGCGCCTGCGTACAACTTTCACCGTCAAGCAAACTTTTGCGTTTTTACCGTTACACGGGAACGCGGAGGTGGAGCGTTTTTAAGATTTCCACTCTGGAGGGTGGTTTCACTTTTTTTGCGTTTTTGAGCCTCAAAAACGCCATCGCCGTGTAAACGAAAGGCACATCCGATAAAATATTTTTACTTTTTCACCCGCGAGCGTTCTCGTGTAAACAGGGCCTAAGGACGGGAATCCGATTGAGGAACACCCCAGAAATGGCTCGGCTACGATGTTCCGATAAAGAAGTCACGCCGGGTGTTGAATATTGTCAGATTCAGGTAAGCTAACTTGCCTAACTGGTATGTGCTTGTTTGCCTAACTTTAGATTCGTGAAGTCCGTTCTATGAATGCATTTAAGATCAGTAACAAGCCGTAAACAAAATACAATGAATCTTGCATGATTACCATTGCCCACATACATGTTATTTATTTAACTTTGTGATATTGACCTAAGAGTCTGAAAGAATAAATGAATGAATGAATATTCACGGTAGTACAAGATAGTATGGTAACTTACATTAGTCTTACAATAGCTCACATTACTGCTATTGCACATTACGAGATGTAAACAACACTGGTCCAGATGCACTTCCTGTTTCAGTTTGTAAAAGGCTTCTTAATTTCAAATGTAAAGAAAATATCTTGAATATGTTTGTTTAACTTTTTGATTCAGTTGTTCTGTTGGTTGTACTTTAACCCAACGTTTATACAGTGTTAAAACTGAAACAGGAAGTGCTTCTGGACCAGTGTTTACATCTTGTGAAATGGTCTATACAGAGATTGTTGATGCTAGCAGGCCAGCTAGCTACATCTCTCATTCAGATATTGATATTGACTTATGGCGAGTTAGGAGATTGTGTATTGTTTCGTTTTTAATTAATGTATCTTTCTCACACACTGTTCTGTGTAACTATGGGTGCCATCATCAATGAATTCTCCATGATCTATTTTAAGTAGCTAATAATGTAAAAAATGTGTATGGTTATAATATTTCCATAGATGCATCAATGAGAGTCAGTAATGCAGTGGATAACTATGAGGATGATCACATCCACATGCCCCACAGCTGTGATGCAGAATCACAATGGGAGGATCAATCTGTCTTTGGCCACAACCTGATCTTCTCAGAGAGACTCTCCAGCGTCTTGATGCTCTTTAGCGAAAGTATGAGCAGCACAGACTAACGTTACATGAAGAATCTTACAACGCTTCGAAAAGAATAAAAAGGGCACATGACGTGAACATTGCGGTAAGTCCAATTATTGTTCTATAACGTGGCTGTAAGCCATAGTTCGGTTACAATTATTGTTTTGTCTCTTGCGGTTACTGTGATGGTCAGCTTATTCCAACTGAAAATTCAGTTTTGTGGTTCTTGAAGATTGTGAATCAATTTAATTGCTTTTTAATTTCAAACTTTACAGGAATCTGTAAGGCGCCTCCATAATTCAGAGAACAACCCACACAAATACGTTCCACAAACCAGGTAAGACTGTTTCTTATATACTATAGCCTAAATGTTAGTTTAATCTACTACTCTATGGATTTGGAATGCCAAAAGTGAATTTCAGTAATGATACCTGCAACTTTCCCCCCCAGAATAAGTTCATCACATAACCTGGCTGTGACCACTTACCTCTTCGAAGAATTAAGGTCAACTTTTACAGAAGTTGACCCTGAATGTGTAAAAGGTAATCTTAAAGATGTTGTAATCATTTTATTGTCCTCTGTTTTACTTATTTTTATTGCCATTACATTTATTTATGATATATTTAGCAGGTTGGAAGATGTATTTTGAGACTTTGCGGAGGAAGTATTCTTTGGCTCAGCCTGAAAAGGCCCAGAAAAGAAAAACTATGACAAGCATTGCAAAGAACCTTCAAAGAAAGCGACTGGTAAGTTAAGAAACTGGTTAAGCACTTTTTTTTCTCTTCAGAATGTAACTATCCTCCTCTCTGTGTTTTAGTGGTTAAGTTACTGTCATGTTTTTCAGTTGCTGGAGACCAGGTCCGGGGTTGTACAAACCAACACAGAAAAGGAACTTTGGAAGACCGCAACAATAGAACTGATGTCTGATGAAGATGATGCTATTGTTGATGGAAGGCCAGTGTGAATGGTGAGGTCTCCACCAATCTGTTCTCTGCTAGGTACTATAAAACAGACTAGAGGCTGACCCACACTATGCGTCACACCACCAGCGTATCATGGCAGTTTGAAAAATGTTAACTCGTAAAAAAAAAAAAATGTATATATATATATATATATATATATATATATATATAACCGTTCAAAAGTTTGGGGGTCGGTAAGATATTTTTTTTTTGGTTTGGGGGGGATAGCTCAAATGAACTCAATACTTTTATTCAGCAAGGATGCATTAAATGAATCAAACGTGATAGTAAAGACATTTATAATGTTACAAAACATCATATTTCAAATAAATGAAATATAACTTTCTATTGATCAAATAATCCTAAAAAGTCTACAACTGTTTTCAACTTTGGTAATAATAATGAATATTTATTGAGCATCAAATCATCACATTAGAATGATTTCTGAAGGATCATGTGACACTGAAGACTGGAGTAATGATGCTAAAAATTCATCTTTGATCACAAGAATAATGTATTCCAATAGAAACGTTTATTTTAAATTGTCATAATATTTAACAATATTACTCTTACTTTTTTTGTATTTTTTATATATATAAAAAAAGCAGCCTTGGCGAGCATATGAGACTTCTTACCGATCCCAAACTTATAAACGGCAGTGTACACCTTGAATATTTTATATACACTTTAATTTCTTATTTATTTTTCTCGTATTATTTCATATATTTGTTCCTTTTTTTTGTTGTCCATGTTGCTTATCTCCATTTTGTTTACTTGTTTGCATTTTAATGTATGTTTATAATGCACTCTCTGTAATGTTCTATTTATTTATATTGTTTACTTGGAATATCTACGTATATTATATATATATATATATATATATATATGAAGAGTTCAGATGCAAAAGCCTCTAAATGCCATTTGAAATTTTCTCCTTTAATGATGATTTTTATCAAACTTGTATATTTAAGTTTAGTAATTTCACTTAAATAACAATTAATAGGCAATTATCATTGCCATTTAAGAGAAATTACTGAACTTAAATATACAAGTTTGATAAAAATCATCATTAAAGGAGAAAATTTCAAATGGAACTCTTCATATATTTTATATATATATATATATATATATATATATATATATATATATGTAACTTTTTATATACACTGTGTACTTTATTCCTTTACATCTGTCCTTTAAAATGATTGGGTAAAAAAAATTAACGAAAATAAAAAGTTAACAATTTATTTAATGTATGTTTATAATTTTCTTTGGAATGTCCATGATTTTTTTTTCTTCCTTTGAGATGTTATTACTTCATACTTTTTTTCTAGTTTTTGTTCCCAATTCCTCTGTAATGCTTGTTTATAATGCTATTTGGAATGTGTTATATACCTTAATAAAAATTTCAGACTTTCCCATTGTTCTTTGTGTGTTTAAATATAAATATAAATATATATAAATATATATATATATATCAAATTTATTTTAATGAATATATTAAAATTGGGGGAGGGAGGTTTGGTATATATTTGAGCAATATCTGCATAGCTGGTATATAACCAATCAAATCAGTATGCTACAAGGCCTAGGGTGGGCTATGTTTAAAAGTAACCAATAAAGTCCGTTTACTGGGTTTTCAATGTGTCCTGCCCTCCAATAGTGGTCTGGGTGTTGGGAGTGGCTTTAAAAGAACAACCAATCCAGTTTGGTTGGAAGGCAAAAAGGTGTGAATGTTTCCTGCAAAAAGGTGTGATTTTTTCCTGCTAAAAACTTTAAGGGGATTACTTGCCATGGCAACAAATGGCTCTAGCACGGAAGTATACGTCAACAACATACATCCGATTTGGTATCATTCCGGATGTATGCGGATATATACAAACCCATGGAATTTGACATATCCGGCCACTATACTCCTGGATTCTTCCGAATTTCAGCAGTGTATACAGGAGTATACTGGTCCGGATACACCTATTTTCATGCAGTGTGAACAGAGAAGTATCCACTGCATGAAAAGTGGGATTTTCGTCAGTAAGCGGCACTGTAGATTGTCGTGGAAGTTCAGGTTTACGACTGCACACGGCAATTTACAGGCAACACCCAAAACTGCCGTGAATTGCCGGAAATTGACGTAGGCCTTGCTTGCCAGTTGTCCCCCCATGACCCCCCTTTTCCTAAATCTAGAGGAGGCTTTGACATGTAAATGAAAATGCTGTGAGCTATACACATGCAAATAAGGGTAGGGGAGTTTCACCCCAGGTAACATTTTTCTGAAAGATATACCTCATTCTAGGACAATCTCTGGTAGAAATAGATCAGGCTCACAGTGTTTGTTTTTTTTTTTTTTTTTTTTACATTACACATAATGCACAACAATTACAACAATAGCATGATATCCAAAAAGATAACAATCAACAAATAATAATTTCACTATAAATGAATAAGAAAAAATAAAAATAGGACAGAATTGAAAAAATAAAATAAAAAGGGGAAAATGACTATCTATTATGTATAATATAATGATTTAAGAGAAAGCTAGAAACCAGTAATTTGTACTACTTAAAGAAAGAAAATAGCATACACATTGATTCACTTTTCAATTAGCTTCAATATTCTTTAGTAAATAGAATTGTATCACTACATTTTTTATCGATAGAGAGACTCAATATACAACTGAAAATCAGACCAAAAAAAAAAAAAAAACTTCAAACAAGGTTTAGAATTATTCATTTTACTCTTATGAATATGAAATTTACCTAATAAAATTATAGGATTCATCATAATATTTACAGAAGCAGTTTTCAAATTATATGATAACATCTTTGGATGTTAATTCACAGTTATAACCAGATGGTTTTCTGGTTTATTTATTTTAAGTAGCCTAATCAAGTTATTTATTTATGCACACCCTGTATTTGTATTTTTCATTTCATGGTAGCCTATATTAGGTCTATCCACCTTATTCCTAATTTAAAAAGAACTAACAGCAACAGAAAAGTCATGGACAGCCGAAGTCGGACAACTCTATCAAGAGCTTTGATTTCAACCACAGTCGAAATCCAGTGAACGTCACTCTGATTGGCTGAGGCAACATATCATCATAACCCAACCTGTAAAGCCAGCCACTCTGATAGGCCGAGGCAACATGCGAGCCATGTGGCGCGAGCGGCGCGATTCAGCGTGTTTTTCACATGGTTGGTTTTTCAAGCAGAAAATAACGGCACAGATATTCAGCCTACATCGCCGTCATGATCACTGGTGAACCCATCTCCTCTAAATTGAAGGTAAGTTCGTCCAATCTAGTGAATTCTATGTCCATGTCTACTTATGCTAGTGTTTGGTAGTTTAGCGTTATTGTCTTAAACTTCACAAACCTGCTGTGATTACTGCCGCGAATGTTCAAGGGCGTTAACCTTAACGGCACAGTTTTTTTGTTTTGCGTTAGCTTGCTGCTCTTAATTCTTGACACTAAATTGTATTTTGCACGTTGTTATCTGGCTGCTAGGTAGCTTCTTTGCTAGTAATCAAACTAACTCGTATTGGGTGTTCAACGGGCTTTTCCCAATGCGTGCTACTCTGAATATCGTCAGAAATTATATGTGCCAGGATCATACAAACTCAAAGTTCGTAATGTGCTTGTATGCTCTAGTGTAGGCTATCCTTGTTTGTAAAACTGCAACGCTGTTGTGTGATGGAGTGAAATCTTTAACTCCATCTGTTTGTGATGTTTGTTAACGCATTTGTTTTGTCTCTCAGGTGCTGTGCCTGTAAGGAGTGAGGTGCCCTTCCCTGATAGGAGAAAAAACACCTAAACAAGGTAACGTTACGTGTTGTGATCTCATCCTCTTTTCTTTTGATCAGGCCCCAGTCAAATAAACAGTAAAACTAAACTAATTTGGTATTAACGTCTGTGTTTACGGATGACTTTGAGAGTAAGACAGTGGTGAAAACGCCAAAGAGAACTGGAACATGGCATGTTATATTCATAAATGTTTGGCAAAGTTTAAATGTTACTAGGTCCAGTGTTCGATTCACCATCAGGTCCTGCACAGAGATTGTTCGAGGCACACCTTCAGGTCACGTGCGAGGCACACAGTCTTCAAATCACTGCTATTACTTTGAATCTGAATCAGAGCTTTATTATCTAGTGTGCTTGCACACATAAGGAATTTGTTTGTGTGCTGAGGCTTCCAGTGCACATATACTAACACAACAGGAAACGTATTATAATTACAAAATTATTTTAATTTCAGGTATAACCATATGGAACTAATAAATCCATGAAGACCGATCCCGTAGTGATGCCCCCAGTCCCCCGCCCAGGTCCAGACATGATAAAAGAGTACAGCGCAGTGATCTCAGCACATGACCGGCACGGTGAGTTGTCGGCTGCGTTCACATTAAGCTCATTTAGGATTATTTTGCTATTCAGGTGGTGGTCATATGACCCTGGATGCCTGTTACACAGTGTACACATTGCTTTGAACAAGAAATCAAGTAATTTAGATTTTTTTTACAATTAAGGCCGCAATTTTCATCAAAGTACTTTGCAGTTCACCAAGTTTTATAGATATATCTCTAATTGTTACAATATTGCAGATTTATTATTTATCATCTTATAATATGTTCAGTTTCATCATTTGATAATAACTTGTATAACACATTTTTTGTGGTGTAGATGCAGTGACTGAGACTGGGAGATGCAGTGACTGAGACTGGTAAGTATTGATCTATTGGCAGTGGAGAAGACACTTTTAATAGACACCTTCTCTCTTGTGAGCTAGCAAACTTTGCTATTCTAATTAGAGCGTTGCAAACCTCACCAAATGTGTTTGTTTATTTCAGTGTTCCAGAAAAATGTCCTGAAACTACTGGTCGACATCCGCCATCGCCTGAAGGAAACCAGGTAGTGGATGCAAAGGAAACATATTTTTGCTTACAAATGTGGGGACTTGGGGCAGATTGTCTTTGCATACATCTAAATCATTGGTCTTTTTCAACTTTGCAGAAGGGATCATGAAATTTGGTTCCATAGCCACTGAGGTGTATGTACATCAAGGTGAACGTGTGTGAGCACCTCAAGCACGCGTCGCAAAGACTTGGAGGTGGAGGATTCACTAC